ACTTTTCCGTCCTTTCTTGTCCATGCATCTTGTGTAAGTGGTTCAGAGTAATGGTACAAACCCGACGATTGGAAAAGTTTGACATTCAAAGTAAACCAATGATTCCTTAGCCAAGTTCCGATCCTTGTCTCTGAGCCATTGCCAGCGAGAATGCTGAACTCTCAAGGAAACCCTACTGATTGAAATCAAAATTGATGGCGATCTTGCCCATTGAGGCTGTTGTTTTTCACCGACCAAGTCCCAAGAGAGTCGGTCAATTTTTTTAGTACTTTCGGGGACCTTATTGGTCAGACCTTCCCAATTTATTCGGAAAAAATACTCTCGGGTTTTGTCATGCGTTAGTTCGGTTGAGGGCAAAGATGTACCATTTTCTACGACATTTCGAGTTTGTGCAGAGATTCAATGGCTTTAGTTTTAATATTCGATGATTACCCAAGAACCTTATGATTACTCACCTGTCCATCCAACCTTGCAGTCACATTTTATATGGTTGCCTTCCTGCACACACTGCCCTTGCTGACAGGGATTTTGCACAGCGCACTGGTCTATTTGGGTCTGCAACACTCAAATTTATTTACTTTTCTAAATAATAATGGCAGCTATGTTTTTGATTATTATCGGCACAGTCTTACTATATTCACACGATCTATTGTCTTCTGAGGCTAATTAATGTGTCGGAAAGGCGGCATGCAAGACATTCCCAGTGACATACTCGAGGAATCCGCTAGTTGTGAATGATGTTCGTCTTATTATTCCGAAGTATCGAAATACGGACCCAACGATTTGTTTCCAATTCATCTATGGTGCCGAACTTCTTTTTCAGTGAATATCGCCTCTCAAACTCAGGTCCATCTGTCCTATTTGACGTCTAAGGAAGGTTTTTGGAATTTGTGTTCCCATTTTTGAGTCACTAAGGCTCGTAAATTAGCCCTTTATAAGCCTGTCGGCCACATTGTCGTGACAAACCTAAGCAAATATTTCTTCGTTCTGTCAATTGGGAAATAGAACTTTGAAGTCAAAGATATTTGACAAGGTTCGGTTTGCCTACCTCACAGAGTAAACCCGTGAATCCAGGCTTACAATGACAGAAGAAACCGTCTTGGGTAGGTTTGCAGGTTCCTCCATTCTTACAAATCTCTCCCGCACAATGATTCACCTCAATTTCACATGTGGCTCCAGTGAATCTGAAATCCGTTCGAATAACGATGTCCGAATAGCAACTGATTCTTATGGATTGCGTTTTGCACTCTTCTTTCGCTAAGAATCACTAAGATGGCGTCAATAGGATGACTTGAAGAATCATCAGACGTAGAATTCGAGATTTTTGGTCAGAAACGCTGGATGGTCGAAGTTTATTCGAAAGAGAATAGAGCTGTAAAAATGGAATCGGAAAGCGTAGTGATTTCAACGTTTCAGCGGATTTCATACATTCAAAATCTGAGCGACTGAATATCAGGATGATATGTGTTAAGAAACGTGACAGGCGAGCGAGCGGTTGCGTGGCGGCAGACACTCGAGATTTGGGTAGTAATGCTCAACATCTTACCTCGAGGTGCAGCGACAAGTGGGTGTTTCTTCGCCGGAAACCACACAGGTCCCACCATTTTTACATAGATAGTGATTTTCTGTAGAAACACAGCTGATATGCGATCGGCATTCTTCGCCGACCCATCCTAGAAAATAAATATTTATTTTTCTACTTGTTTAGTTTTTTATCCATTTCACTGTTGTGTTTTTCTATTATATCTCACAAAATTTTCGTTGTTCATGACTGAATTTTCTTTTAGAGGCCCGCACTGAGTGCCTGAGCTCTTTTTTACCCATCTATGGGAAAGGTCAAAATAATACAATTCTCGCCGGTAGATGATTTGAAGATCATAATAGGGCCGAATTTCTCGTTTTGAAAACGAAAGCGATTAGCAGAGCTACTGATGATGATAAAATATGAGGTCCTGATGGTAAATAGTCAAACTCGTGGGGACTTGGTGGTCCACGGATCGTCCTCGCTTCCGGGACACAAGGCTCGGCATTCCTTTCGTTCAGAGCTTTCGCGAAAAGTACGACCATATCGTTGGCGGCCGTCCTGGTGTCGTTTGACGTTTCGAGGGATCCGGTTGGTAACCGCCCTGGTCTAACGGTCATCAGAGTATCGCACAGCGTGTTCGGCTAACCTGGTCTTGAATTTTCCGGCAGAGGCATCCATGATTTTCGTTCGTTGACGAAGCCCGGAGCTCCGGTTTCCCTTTTGTACTTGTGTGTATATGAAGTAGAGGTAGATCAATTCGGAATATTTCCCATATATGGAGAGAATTCCGTGATGATCCACCTGATGGCGTCTGTCGATTTTGTGACGCTTGTCGGCCCTGCTGCGCCCTGTTCGTAATGTCTGGTTTTCATGAAAGACCTCCGATTCCGATAGGATGATGGCTTTTTTCTCATTCCTCTCGTTATTATTGTTATTATTACTATTATTACTACATATTATTATCACTATTATTATTATTACTATTATTATATTATAACTATTCCCATGCTGCTTTCCTCGACCAAGGGACTATTGCTTTGATGTTACTTTAACTGTTTCAAGGAATCCTTAACTTGGGTAGTTTCTAGGTTTGTGAAGCATGAAATAGTACCTGATTCACATTCACATGAATATCCAACGGCGGTGTCGTTGTTCGGGATGCATTTCCCATGTGGGCCACAATTGTGGCTTCGACATGGATCCCATCGACATTTTCCGACGATTCCGTCCGTTGCACAGACACATTCATGCTGTGCTGCGTCTTCATTCCGGCCAACAATAAGCAAACAACTGTAGTCAGGTTGGCAAGTAGGACAAAAACCATTTTTCATCTCACAAAAACGACTGGCAGAGAAATCTGAAATGCATAATTGTTTTGATTCTCCGGTCGTGTGCCACGTTCACAGTTAGCGAAATTGCGAGCGACATATTGTCGCTGTCGGTTAGAATCCTTCGAGATAGGATGACAATGGCAATATGTGGTGGCTCGAAGGCTAAAAGTTTTGAATGATACAGTTGCCCGAAGGTACCTGCTCCACAGTGGCATGTTCCGACACCGTCGTTCTCCTCGCAATATCCATGGCCAGTCTTTGAACAGAATGTATGGGTACATGAATCGGGTACACACTCACCGTCCTTGTGATGGAAGTCTGAATGTGAACTATCAACCAGTTTCGGTGTAAGCCATGCAATCGTCTCTTACTAAGTTAGTATAGAGCATTAATAAGGATGTCCGGCCAATGCAGAGGGGAAGTAGGCAAATAAGTGATATAAGGAGGATGTTGACCGGTTTACAAACCTTGTAAACATCGGCATTGTTTCACCCCTTGCTCAATAATGCACTGTCCATTGGCGCAATCTGTGTATGTGCAATTGACGTTGGTGTCTCTCAAAGTGAACGGACCTTAAACTTGATTACAATGACGAAGTATTTTCAAGGTATCTCGAATCAATTTTACCATATTTCACTAACTGCCAGAAGGGGAAACCCGAGGAAATTATTTCTGATAACGTTTCTGTAAAACGATGACAAACTTGGTGAAGTTAATATCCACAAAGTCTGGGCTTGTACGTCTTAGCTTTCTGGGTGGTGATGAAACCGCTAAGGAGCCATGTGATCAAAATTATCATTGTCTTGTTCGTTCCTCAATGGCTACTCGCCGGAGGTTCGCTCTGGAACAGTCCTTCGCTATGAGGACTGGTTGAGTAAGAAGTCAATGGCCTGAATGAGCTAACTGGGACTTTACAGGTTCCTATACCTCATTACCATTCGGGAGAAAAGGTGATCCATCGCATGAGGTTCGCATTAATTGTAGTGCATGTAGAGACAGTACAACCACCTGAGAGCCAATAAGTAGAAAGGCGTGAACGTACACTGATTGCAGCACGGATTGGCCATTTGTAGTGCCCATCCGGTAACTGGGTGACATACAGCTGTCACTACTGCTTGCATCGCTGACGTGCCACATCTGACCGGAATTCGGCGAGGCTTTGAAAAGCTTAGCGATCTCGTCAATAAGGCACCGTCGATAGAAGCCTGAAAGAACCATTTTAGAAGAATAGGAGCCCTTTTGGAGGGGAAGGTCCACTGAGACTGATCCTAGATGGAGTTACTGGAAATGTATTGAAGTTGAATTGGCTCGATACTACCGCCCGCTGGTATTTGCCCTACCCGAGATAAATTTGCGCGAAACCCCCTCCTTGTCCCTGTGGACTATTATTTTAGCTTCTAGTAAAGTAAAGTAAAGTGAGTAAATAGTAAGGCACCCTCCTTTCTCATCCCAGTGAGCTATGTCCCAAATCTCTTCGCCTCGCAAGTCTCTAGGCTCGAATCAAATAAGACAGGTATAGGTGCACTTACCGTACCACAGTGTGAATAGAGCAGTTTTATCGATTCGATTGCTACTGTGCCTGTTTTGTAGATGGAAATCCACAAGTATTCGCCGAGATCATCCAGTGTGACCTCAAGAAATCCTGCTTTTGATGTGCTGGCGGCAGTAACGAAATAGGCATTTGATGGTATGAAAGGGCTCCGGCTACTGTATGTGTCTGAAAAACGATTTTCTTCTGCACTCACAGCCATTGTTTCAGAATTATCGCTGAACTGAACTGATTACGACGTTCCCAACAATACGTTGTATGTGCACAACCAGTCGCAAAGAATCGGTTTTTAAACGGATCGCTGGCGAAAGAAGATATCTGCAACAATGCGTTTTATAAAGGTTTGTATTTGTGTTTATTTTTTATTTATTTACTGGGAACAACACTTGTAAACAGCAACTAGTGCGGGGAAACACGGAACTTTTTGTGGGCATGGAAGTATTGGAATAAATATTTCTCAACATGTTATC